TGCGCCATAAACGATACCCAGGGCCTGCAGTAGATTGAGCAGCCCGGCATTCACAAAGCCGATGGTTGCGACGGTTACCGCGCTTGAGGATTGCACTAAAGACGTCATCAAAATACCCGAAACAACACCGCGTAGCGGTGTTCTGGTCGACCGGGTAAGGATCTCTCGCAGAGCGTCACCTGCGGCGAGTTTCAAGCCGTCAGTGATCATGGTGACAGCGAGCAGAAAAAGGCCAAGTCCACCGAGCAGTGAGCCGATGATAAACACGAGATGCAGGTTGGTCTGTTCTTCTAACACGGTTGGCCAGTATTTGTGTTGGGAATCACTGGAGTAACTGTATCGGTGATGTGCCCGCAGCCACAAGGGGGCTGGACGCGCTATTATCGACTCAGGAAAGCTTGCCTGATTTTATTGTCCACTTGCGGATCCTGAATTCAGCAGGCGCTTTATCTGCTTGCGGCTGATGAAGCGTAGAAAAGCGATGTCTCCATAAGCTTCAGAGTGCATCAGCTGTTCATACTTCACGCCAGTGGATTGATGATGTGTGATTGACCACCAGATGACTGAGTCTTTTGAAAAAAAAGATTTTTTCAGAGACTCGCGATTGCCGGTATCTGGCCATAGCTCTGTTTGAGATAACGATCTTTGTATGGCGCGACGGGTGACGCGGTAAGTTGTGGTCAGGAACGGCAGATCAATCCAGACAAGAAGTTGAGCGCGTTTGAGCTTGATGGGAAAGCTTCGAGAATAGTTACCGTCCAGTACCCATTGTGGACATGCCGCAACCTGTTCGACCTTGGGTAGAAATTCTTCATCGGTTGATTCCACCCAGTTGGGTTTCCAGAACAACTGGTCCATCTCGAAATAGGGTAGCTGCAGCGCCTCTGCCAGGCTTTTTGCGAAAGTAGACTTGCCGCTCCCGGATGTACCTATGACATTGATGCGTTGGTATTCTGCCAAGTTGTCCAACGTGCTTTTTTGCGCGTCTAGAATCTTCATGTTTCAAGCTGGCTGCTGTGACCTCGGGCGATGATGACGTCTGCGGCCTGTTTGACAAACAACTCTGTACGGGTACGGCGTGTGGCTTCAACCTGGGCTTCAAGCCCCCAACTGTGCATGGTTGCCAGGGCTGCAAAACCGACATAAGCGTCCCACAGCGGCAGATCACTGAAATCCAGATTTGAGTGCAGCAGGTAGTGATCTGTAAACAGTGTCATCGCCTGCTGCCCATACATTGCCACGATTTCTGCCCGACAGCAGGCAACGTCTGAGACAGGTGTGCCAATCGCTGCATCCTCCCAGTCGATCACGCCAACAATTTGATCATGTTGCCAGATGATATTGCCTGGCCAGAAATCACCGTGAAGAATGCTTGCAGGTACCGTTTTTGCCTGCCAGCTGGCAATGGTTTCGCGCAGCGCAGACCATTCTGGTGTATCTGGAACGTACAACAGAGCACCTGCAACAGGGTCTTCGCGTTGCGGCAAACCGGGAACCGAAATGCTTTTTGGATCTAGCTGGTGTAAGCGCAGTAAAAAGTCGGCCATGTCTGTCACTGCCGATTCTACCTTCTGCTCAGGCACTGATGTGGTGCCATTGACCATCCGCATAACCGCGTACGGAGTCGGGAGAATTCTGCAGGTGCTGTCTAACAGAATCTGTTCAGCCACAGGCAGGCCTATCTGAAACAGCACCCGCTGGAGTTCAAATTCAATGCCTATGGTGTTATCTGCTTGGTCTTTCCATTGGTGTTCGCCAGCGCGGCGAAGGACAAAACACTCTCGGGTACCGTCAGGCATGCCGAGTTCCAGGGCATCTATGGCTGCAGAAACGCCTCCGGTGAGAGGCCAGTGACGAATGAATTCTGCCTGTCCTGCAATGCGACGGCTGATAGATTGAAAAACGGCGAAGCGCTGAGAGTCATTCATGATGGCTAATTGCTTGAGGCGCTCGAGGAGAACGCATCCTATCTCACCTTTGACGTTCTGAACCACCTGCAAGCAGGGCGCCTTGCGGCAGATGGTGAATAGGTGGACACTCAAACCGCGTTTTTGATAACGGCATAGCGTTATGATTTCAGTACCAGCAGACCAGCTTCCACATCCGATGGACAATATTCCTATCAGGAATCTGCGTTTCGACACAAAACAACTCAGTGGCCAAAGTGCGCTGTGGAGTGACACTGAGCCTGATTTTTCGATGTTCATCAATGCTCTGGGTATACACGTACCCTACTTCGAAAGGTTCCTGGTGGCTGTCTTTCGCGGTATACGTGCCGATATTAAGGATGCTGATCTCCTGCGCGACGTGAAAGGCATCATTGGTCAGGAAGCACATCACGCCTTCAATTTTGTTGGCTGGAACAAGGTGATGAACGAAACGTATCCTCGGGTGAGTGAGCTGGAGGCAGATGCGGAATCACATTTTGCGGCCATGCGGAGCAAACGCAGCACATTCTTTCAGGTTGGATATGTGGCCGGGTACGAAACGTTTACCTTCTTAGCCGGCGCCATCATTCTCGATCGTTACGAGGAACTTATGGGAGATGCCGACCCGGTCATGCGCGCGTTGTGGGTCTGGCACCAGGTTGAAGAGGTGGAACACGGCGCCGTTGCTTTTGATGTGTACAACTACTTCTATGAAGATCGTGAGTGGGCGCGCAAATTTTTCGTGTTGCTCGCTTTTACTCACATTACCAAAGAGACCCTGCGCGCCTATCTGCATATGGGCCACGTCGAAGGGTTCTGGCGTGCGCCTGTTCGTGGCTTTAAAGCCGCAAAGTTTTTCGTGCGATTTGCGCTGGATCTTGCCCGCTCTGCCCTGCCGGTTTTAAAGCGTAACTACCATCCCCGTAGTCATCCTATCTGTAATGAACATCAGAACAGAATAGCGCTGGCATGGCGTGAGCGATATGACGCAGGCCTAACCACATTGGCCATCGAGCAGGGTGACTTAACCCATGCGTTAGAAGCAGCAACAGGCGGAGCCGGTTCATGAGCACAGAAACAAATGTGATGGTGCGCAGAATCATTGCTCACGCGATGCTGGTGCTTGTTGTCGGTTTGGTTGCAGGGGTGCTACTGACGTTTTCCCTGCTTGGGGAAGTTGCCCTGTGGCCATTGCCCGCTATTGATTGGCAGATTTTTGGTTCGACCCGCGGCTGGCAGGCCGCTCACGTCGGCGGCATTTTGAATGCAGTGATGCTGGTGGCACTGGCCTGGTGCTTGAACTGGCTCAAGGTATCTGGGCGTGCACTTGACTGGGCGGGCTGGGGGCTTGTCTATACCGGCTGGGGTAATACGGTGTTTTACTGGGCAGGTAATCTGGCCGGTAATCGAGGCCTATCGGTGACCGATACGGTCTTTGGCGCTGGTGATCTAATGGGTGCTCTGTCTTACTTCGGTGGGGCCAGCGCCATGTTTGCTACTTTTATCGCGGTTATCATTCTTGCGCGTACTGCACTGCGTAAGGAATAGCTAGTTCATGGCTCAGGGTCCGATTACTTTATGGGGTTCCGGCACCAGTCGGACCATGCGAGTCGTGTGGGCTGCGGAAGAACTGGGCATCACTTACGAGCTTAAACCAATTGGTCCGCGTACCGGCGAAACTCAAACGGAAGAATTCAGTGCGTTGAACCCCAAACAGAAAATTCCTCTGTTGGTCAGTGGTGGCCTGTGTTTGTCTGAAAGTTTAGCTATCTGCCGTTATCTGATCTCCGCCTTTCCGAATGATGTTCTTTATGTGCCGCAGACACCTGAAGCGCGTGCTCAAGAAGATGAGTGGTGTTGCTACATCTATGGTGAGTTAGATGAAACCAGCCTCTATGTGATGCGGCGCCATGGTGACCTGGGGCACATTTACGGTGACGCGCCTGACGTGGTCTCTGCCGCCGGAGATTATGCCGCTAAACACTTCAATGTCACTGCCAGCAGGTTGGGTGAGCAATCCTCGATTCTCGCAGAAGGTTTTGGACTTGCCGATATTATGCTGATGACCTGTCTGGACTGGGCGGTGGCTTATCAGTTGTTGTTACCCGACGCGCTGATGTCCTATCGCAGGCTTATTGCTCAACGACCAGCGTATCAGCGCGCAAAGGCGATCAATTTTGCACGCCTGATCTAAGCTCTTTGTAAACCGCAACATGGCACAATAGTCCTCTGCCCCACAGCACCAGTTGCTGTCTTGATGGGGCAAAATATAAAGGAGCAAACAATGAAACCTGTGTGTCTGGTAATGGGAGCGGGTGCCGGTATTGGCGGTACTGTAGGAACGCGATTTGCGCAGGCGGGCTACCACGCTGTGTTGTGTCGGCGTAGTGATCAGGAAGGTTTAGATCGTCTGGTTAAGGCGATCCATGAGGGTGGCGATGATGCGACCGGCTTTCTGTTAAATGCAGTTGAGGAAGGCAGCATTGAAGAGGCTGTTGCCCGAATCGAAAAAGACATCGGTCCGATAGAAGTGATTGTGTTCAACCTGGGCGCTCAAATTGGCGATCGATCGTTAAATCAGACCACCAATAAAGCTTTTGAAATGGGATGGCGACTGGCCACATTCAGCCTGTTCCGTTTGGCATCAGAGGTTTGCCCACTGATGGTTGAGCGTGGCAAAGGTACTATTCTGGTGACGTCAGCCACTGCAGCCGTCCGCGGCAATGCCGGACAGCACTCCCATGCCGCGGCGATGGGCGGGCGTCGTATGCTGTGCCAGTCATTGAATGCAGAGTTTTCTTCTCAAGGCATTCACGTTTCTCACATACTGGTGGATGGCATGGTTGATGCGCCAGATACTGTTGGCAAAATGTTGGGCGCGGAAAAGTTTAATGAGGTCAGGCAGGCGCGGGGACTTGAACACGATGGGCTGATTTTGCCCGACAAGGTGGCCGACACTTATCTGCATCTGGCACAGCAGCATCGTTCTACCTGGACCTTTGAGCTTGACCTGCGCTCATTCACTGATCGCCCCTGGTGGAATCACTGATGTCTTTATCATTAATGCAGCTGATGGCGGTACAAGTCGCTGAGGATGATGATCACTTTCTCGGTCAGGCTGAAACCTACGGATTAATGGGTATCTATGGCGGACATTTTGTGGGTCAGGCACTTGCCGCTGGCTTTGCAACGGTTGAAGAACCTAAGTTTGTGCAGTCTTTACACTGCTATTTCCTGCTTCCAGGAGACCCGGGTGTGCCTATTCATTATGCCGTGACGAGGTTGAGAGAAGGCCACGCTTCAGACGTGCGCAATATCGTTGCTTATCAGAAAGGCCGTCCCGTATTTCAGATGATGGCGAGTTTCAAATTGCCAGAAGAGGGTGATGAACATCAACCTGAGATGCCGATTGTTCGTGATGTAGAGTCTCTGCTGGAGGAGTTGAATACACAGAAATCTCCATTCAACCCGCCGCCAACCCTGGCAGGCAGAACGGAAATGGTGTTGGCGTCAGATCACTTTATGCAGCCCGCGTATGTTGCTGGCCGAGCAGCGACACTGAAGTTGTGGATGCGCTGTAATAGTGAGCGAGCGCTTTCGCATCGCGAGTCGCAGATTGCGTTGGCCTTCATGTCAGACAGTACGCTGATGTTCAATTCGGTCATCCCACACGGGTTACCATTTCAAACCCACCGCCTGACCAGTATTGATCATACGGTTTGGTTTCATCGACCCTGTGATGCCAGGCAATGGGTGTTGTTTGATCAGCGCAGTAGTGCGGCTGCAGATGGTCGAGGTATGAATCACGGTGAGTTGTACAACCGCGAGGGCCAGCTCATTATGACCGCTGTGCAGGAGTCGTTGCTACGGAAAATAGTAGAGAAAACATAGTGAGAAGCCTGGCGGGCGCGATCCGGCCTGTCTGCTCCAAACAAATTATCGACTGGGGAGAGTGAGATGAGTCACCTGCTGCTGAGCAAGGAAGATCATATCGCGACGATTACTTTTAATCGTCCAGAACAGCGAAATGCGTACACGCCGGAAATGGCGGTGAAGCTCACACAATACCTGAGTGACTGTGACAAAGATCCCGACGTGCGAGCGGTGATCATCACCGGCGCAGGCAAAGCGTTCTGTGTGGGTCTGGATATGAACGATGTGCGTGAGCGCGGTAGTCGGGAAGACCCTGATGCTGCCGAGGGGAACGCTGCGTTTTTTGAAAAACGAGAGGCTAACTGGGTCAAGGTCGAGCCAGACGCGCTGCCCAAATTCGGCCGCCGTAACGCAAATCCGTTTGGTACGGGCTAGGGTAGTTCCGAGCGCCGTTGTGCGGAGACTGATGCCCCCTTGCGCTGTTTGGGTTTTTTATTGCCTTTCAATGTCTTTTTACTGTTCTGTTTCCAGTCGTAGCTGGACAAGGATAGCCGCCACCATTTAGGTAGCGGCTGCTTGGTGTGTTGGTCATATGCTTTGATCAGCAGTTCGCGATCTGGCCATGCCAGTTTGTAACAGATTCGATTCAGGTCTTTGAAGCGCATGCGCGCTCTGGTGGACAGCGGTCTGTCGATGACCGCGCGGCCGATATCAATCAGGTAGAAATCTATTTCGCCGTTGTTACAGGTCATCATCAAATTCCCTGAAGATAAATCGCGATGAATAATGCCGCGCCAGTGCATATGGGCGACAAATTTGCCGATGCGCTGCAGCCAATCTTTTTTCTCAATACCCTGGTAGTGAGTCTGACCGTCCTTGAATGCGGTGAAAACATCACGACAGGAAAAGGCGCCTTCTATAAATTGACAGATGTAATAACTGTCCGCAGCATTACTGCTGGTTTGTTCAAAAAAGCCGAGCGGTTCAGGTGTAGTGACCCCCAGGCGCAACATCTCCGTCGCGTTGTTCCAATGTCGTTTCCCTTTACTGGGCAGAAATTTGTAGGTGAATTTTTTTATGCCCTTTGCGCGGTTAAGCTTTACCGTTTGTTCCCCTGGTCCCCACCAGGGTGCTTCAATATTCCACAGCTTGTTTCGCTTGTCTCGAAGGACCCTGCATTGGGGCATAGAAGGAAGCAGGTCGGGGATTGTGTCTCCTGAAGGCACGTCTGCGCTGGTATGGCCTTGCAACGTATAGGTGCCGCGCCATAGCTTGCTGTTGAGTGTTTGTGTCACCTTGTTTTCACGAGGCCAGTAAATGACGTCCAGCAACGCTTTTTGAGATATCTGCTGCAGAATGTTTTCCTCAGGCGCGGATACAGTATCTGCCCATCGCAATATCAGAGGTTGTTCTGTAATGGAGCTGGGTACATCACTGAGCGTCACTCCTTCTGGTGTGAAAAAGGACGCCTCTGAGAGGATATTCGAGGTGTACAAAGCATCAAGCGGGTAAATTTTTCGGTCTGCGCACCAGACAACATGAAAGCACTCGTCCTCGGGTGTTTGAAAAACAAAGTGGTGCACGCCATCTACATCGTTGTGCGCATTCAGGCATTGAGCGCCCCGCAACAGTTTCACACTGAAGCCTAAAGTGTTGTATGCGGCTGTTGGGAAGAACTTGTCGACTTCTCCTCGGACCTCGCGGTAGTAGCTCACATTGTCTACCTCTGGATAACTGTCGTCGCCGCACGCGATAAGACCATCGCGTTGGCAGATCAGTGGCCCCCAATAAACACGATCTAATGTGCCACTGGCGGCGGCGATCACGAGATATCGGATGAGATAGTCAGCGTTCTTTTTTTCCGGTGTGGCAGACCAACGTGTCAGGCGTTTCCTGCTCCAGCAGGTGTAGGTGCAATAGGTTTTTGAAATGCCGTTTTTACGGCTGATCGCATCGAGGATCTCAGCTTTTTTAATCAGATTAAGGTTAAGCCAGCGTGCAGCAAATTTACTGGCGACTCGATGATCGAAAGCTTCTGGTTCGACGACGCGTTCAACAAACAGATTATTCGTGTGAATGGCAGGCAGGGAGTGCACATTACCCATGGCGCTGAGGAAACCGACATTATATATGGGTTCAAAATCTGAGACGTTTGGCCCTGCTAAGGTTTTGCCGGCAGCCTCTGCGACCTGCGCAGCGATATGCCACGTAGTAAGGTAGCTCTGAGAACTGTAGCCGGCCCAGCGGCCTCGGTTCGGCGTATTGCCAATTTCGATACATCCAATCCGTATGCCATAGCGACGAACTACTTTCTCCACAAAGCTGCGCCAGCGAGTCTGGGCCTGGACATCTGTTGTCATGGCTGCCGCGTCCCGCTTGGGCGGTAACAAGGCAAGCAGAACATCGAAGCCTTCATCCAGCAAACGCTGTAAAAAACGCTCAGTTGCTGCGCCATCGGCATCATAGCTATAGCTGAGTCGCACATTCTGAATGTCTAATTCGCGTAAAGCACACACGACATAGTCGTCGCAAAGTGGGTCATCTGACGTGGCGACATTGATGCCAAAAAAGTCGTCGGGTACTGTTGTGCTGCGCTTTATGTCATGACGCTGGCGTAACCAGTGGGGTATGTCCTGAATTGCTCCAAGAAAACCTACAGCTGTATGTTGCCAGAGGGCAGTTTTTCGGGGTGAGGCTGTCATGGAGAGTGAATGTATCATATTAGGGGTTGTGTCTTGCGTTGAACCGGAAAAACATCATCGGTCCTACCCACAGTACCTGACAGGTATCATAGTCACTAACAGAATCCGCATGACTTGCCGCATGACGATGCTTGGGCTGAGCTGAAACATTAATTACCAAAAGGTGAATCTTCATGACTGAATATGTGCAAACCACCCTGATCCTGCTGTTGCTTGCACTCGGTCTCACCGGTTGTGCCAGTATGGAAACAACGCAAGCTCCCCAGGAGATCCCGGAAATCGCACCTGGGATTTTGATGGGTTATACGCCGATGGATCAACCCATAGACAGTAAAGTGTTTGTTTTGCCGGCACCTACCCCAGGCTCCGCCCATCAGACAATGGATGAGGTGATAGCCAAAGAAATGCTCACCCTGCGCGGTACACCACGTTGGGAGTTGGCTACAAGGGATGCCCATCTGCGGTTTCCCGAAGCAGCCGATACGTTCGCTTGCGCCCTGGGTATGCCGATAACTGAGGCCAACACGCCGGAGCTGTATATGTTGTTGCGCAGGACTCTGGCAGACCTGGGTCTGGCCGCTTACTCGGCCAAAAATGCTTACCAGCGTGAGCGACCATTCATGGTCAATGGAGCACCCATCTGCACACCTGAGGAAGAGACGATGTTGCGCGCTGACGGTTCTTATCCTTCGGGACATACCGCGATTGGCTGGGGGTGGGCGTTGATACTCTCGGAGCTTGCACCGGATCGGGCAGCGGCTCTTTTAAACCGCGGCCGTGTTTATGGCGAAAGTCGCAACGTCTGCAATGTTCACTGGCACAGCGATGTTATTGCTGGACGTATGGTTGGTGCGGCGGCAGTTGCGCGGTTGCATACAAACGAGATGTTTCTTGCAGCCCTGTCAGCGGCGCGGGAGGAGGTTGTGGCCATGAGGAAGATGAATCTGTCATCCGAACTAAATTGTGCTGAGGAATCTCAGTTGCTCGGATTAAATTACTGATAATTGACAGGTCGCTTTACTGTATGCGGTGCAATTGCTGACCTGTGTCTCGCCTATTTGATTGCCGTTGCATTAGAATTCGCGCCCACTGAACACAAGGAAAGATTATGGAACTGAGAAAAATTAGATTGTTGCTCGCATGTTCGTTAGGGCTGCTTCTGAGCTTGCCAACGACTGCGTTTGCGGGTTCTGACAGCGGCTTCTATTTGGGCGCTGGTATTGGCCAGAGCGATGTCGAGATCAGTGATTTTGACGAGAGTGACGGGTCCTACAAAATCTTCGGTGGATACAATTTTGGTGTTGTGCCTTTGATTGATCTCGCTGTTGAAGCGTCATATGTTGATTTTGGTGAACCTGATTCCGGGCCGCTCAGCGTGGAGCTGACGGGGTTGAACGCTTTTGGATTGGCTGGATTCAAGGTAGGACCGATCGGACTTTTTGCTAAAGCGGGTGTAGTTGCCTGGGACGCAAAGCTGGCGGTGGATGCGTTTCGTGATGATGAAAACGGAACAGATTTTGCCTACGGCGCTGGCGCAAGGTTTCAGATCGGCTCATTCGCAATCCGAGCTGAGTATGAGGTGTACGAAGTCAGTGACGTAAGAGATCTGGCGATGGCATCAGCCAGTCTGGTGTATACGTTTTAGCCAGAGCCTTATAAAACAGTGATCGCGCCTGGTCTGCCAGGCGCAAAGTGGCGTTGGTTAACTGGTTCTGCGCAACAGAGGCTAACTGTTTCTGCCGTGCCAACGCCATACCTTTTTGTTGACTTTCCTCTTTGAATACGTTTTATATGTGCTTAGGGCGCTGATGTAGATTGAGGTTTATATCTGGCGGACGCTGCGAGCTGAGGGGCCACAGACGTTGCGCATTCAGTAGCTACAGGAGGGGAGAGACGCGGGTTGTAAACTTACGCTGAACGAAATCTTTCTGGTGTAAGTCTGTTGTTTTTACGACGCCTTGAGCACAAGCCTCAACGCGCCGAGCCTGCTGGTTGTATCTGTCCTCAATTGGTGTAGTGGGTAACTACACTGTTTAAGCCAAGACTTATTTGTCGCGGTAAAGGGGAGAGGGTCTATGACTGATTCACTACGTGGTGCGTCTGCCATCACTATTGTTTTCTGTATATCCGTAACTTTTTTTGTAGCGTCGCAGCCAGTTCATGCTGAATCGGCAGAGGGGCGGCGAATTGAAGAAGTGGTGGTCACCGCGGAACGGCGGGAATCCACAGTATCAGACACTGCAATTTCAATTTCGGCTTTTGATGAAAAATTCCTTGATGACTTCAATATAAGGAATCAGGAAGACCTGCAGAACTACATACCGGCCACCACCATACAACCCTACGACGCGTCGATACGTGGTGTCGGGCGAACCGCAAGAACCCTGGGCGGAGACCCGGGTGTGGCGACCTACTTCAATGGCGTTTACTCCGAGGATTTTGGCATCGCCTCTACTGAAGGGGGTTTGAAAGACCTGGAGCGTGTTGAAGTCTTACGCGGTCCCCAGGGCACTCTCTATGGCCGTAACGCCGTTGGCGGCGCTATAAACTTTGTCTCCAAACGACCCAGCATGGAGGAATTTGAAGGCGAGGCTTCAGCCACGTTTGGCAATTACGATACACGCGAATTGTTCTACATGTTGTCGGGTCCGGTTATCAAAGACAAACTGGCACTGCGGTTTACCGGCACAGACCGCCATCGTGACGGCTACATCGAAGAGACCTCTGGACAAGGTGATGACATCAATAACTATGGTGATGAAAACTACACCCTTTCTCTGAACTGGACGCCAACAGATCGGATATCGATCTATGCACGAGGCAATGAGCGCAGCTATCGGCGTAAATTTAATGGCGGTGCTGGCACCATGCCCATTGTCGTTGCCGAGAACGGGGTGCAGAACAGAGATACAACCAGTCTGACATTTGGTAAGAGGGTCATCGATCGCACGCAGACAACCAACCCCTGGCAGTCGGATTTTTTTGATCCAAGTATGGAAATATTTTCATTCACTAATCCTGTGACCGGGGCCATGGTGGAAGCTCAGAACGTGCGTGCCGGTGTTGATATTCGTTCGTCTCTCACGGCTGTTACAGGCACAGATGCAAATGGTGCGATTGTGTACGGTAAGTCCGACCCAACGGCTTCTTCTACGTCTCCTAACTACGCTCTGGGTTTGCCGCAAAATCGTGTTCATGTCGCCGATCGAGACAGCCTGGATAAAAGCGATCTGAAAATTGACAGCAATGGCCAGTACGATGAATTCTTTGACCAGCAGGCGCTGCAGTTTAATTTTATCTATACCGCGGATAACTGGGAGCTGAAGTATCTTGCTGGCTATACCGACTTTTTCTACGACCGGAATACGGACGAAGACAAGACCGGTAACCTGCGACTCGGCAGTTCAGACTTTTATGTGCTGCAGGAAAACGAAAACTGGCAGCATGAGTTGCAGCTGACTTTCGACACGGAAAATCTGTCTGTCACTACCGGCTTGTTTGTCTATGACTCCACCATCAACCAGCGCCTCGACTTATATGATCCTATCGATACCCAGGGTCGCTACCAGGCTGATGCCGACTATTCCGGTCTGGCGGGCGGCATAGATGAGTTTGGCGCCGTGTTAGCGTTGTTAGGCGGGCAGGCTACTCCGCTGCTGGACATCTATGATGCACAGGAAGCTTTTGAGGGTGGCACGCCACTCGCAGCAAACGGTAGCGTTACGTTGTTTGCGCCCTGGTTCGGGGATACGGGAACCGGCTTGCGTGGTGCCCGGCACGACGGTGAAAGTACTCCCGGTACCTTCTTTGCCTGGGACAACGACATTGATACCCGCGCCTATGCCGCGTACGCCCAGGCTGAGTATGATTTTTCTGAGAAGTGGGCGATCACCATGGGGGTGCGCTATGCGCGGGACGAAAAAGAAGCCAGAGAGCGCCTCATCGGTATACAGGAATCTCTTGGCCTGACCGCGTTTGCGTTGTTTGACGCAGGCAGTATTTTTGCAGGCACACCAACATTCAGCGGCCCAACTCAGGATTACATTGATAACAACCCTGATGGCTTTGCGGCCTGTGGATCTGGTGCCAATTTATTGTGTCTGTATAACGCAGTGAGCGGTGCGATTGATCCGACGGGTGCAACAACCAACGGCGGTATTCAGATCGGTGATCAGGGTACTAACCCGGGTGACACCGCGGTTAGATTTTCTGGGGTACCGATTGCATTCAATATTTACAGGCCGCTGGAAAACGACTGGGATGTGTGGACCTGGCGAGCGAATCTCGACTATGAACCCACACCGGACACGTTACTGTATTTCTCAGTGACTACCGGCTGGCGCTCAGGGGGTTATAACCTCGGCTTCTTCTCAACAGCCACGCCGGAATATGATGAAGAGAATATCATTGCCTACGAATTGGGCTACAAAGGCACGTTGTTAGATGGCCGTTTGCAGATCAACACGTCTGTATTCATGTATCAGTATGATGATATTCATACCATCATTTCACAGTCTGGCGGATTGCTTGGCGTGAGCACCAACGTTGTGAATGCTCCAGAAGCGCGCACCTTCGGATGGGAAGGTGATGTGTTGTTTCTGCTTGGTGACAGATTTACGCTTGGCGGCAACTGGAGTTATACCAACGCGGAATTCAGTCAGGACTTCGAGGTCGTAGACGTCAATAATCCAGATATACCGGGGTCGATTTTTACTGCTGCAGAGCAGAGTGTGAGCGGCTTTGATGGCAGCAGCCTGCCGAAAATTCCAGAATGGAAATTCACACTTTGGGGCAATTACTCCATTCCGCTGGGCGACTCAGGAAACCTGGATTTCTTTTCCACGGTGGGGTACACCGACGACTTCTTCTTTGCCGCGCCATTTGAACGCGAACTGGATCGAGCACCAAGTTTCACGCGTTGGGACGCGCGTGCGGTTTGGACCAGCGCAGCGGGAAATTGGGAAGTGTCGGCGTTTGTTAACAATATAACAGGTGAACTGGGCGTCCGCTCTTTGGAAACAGAGGGTGGTGAAGAGTGGAACTTCCTGCGCACGGCTACGACCACCGACCCACGTGTGTATGGTTTAGGTTTACGTTATTCGTTCGGACGATAAAGGTAGACGGTTTTACTTTTCAACCTGGCCGCTAGAATTGCGCGGTGCTGTGTGATCGACGTAAATCAGCTGGTCGGTTGGAAAGTCGAGGTTGTCGGCTTTGTTAATAAGTGCTGACAGGGTTGTTGGGTCGAGTTGGGGGGAACGGGATAGAATCCACAGGTACCCCCGATCCGGCCCGGCAACTAATGCGTACTGATAGGCATCTTTGTCTAACTCAATGATGTTGTAGCCGCCGTAAAAAGGGCCAAAAAATGAAACTTTCAGTTGGCCGACGTCTGTTTTGCCAACAAAGTAAGCTTTGCCGGTGGCCTCTTGCCACTCACCTTTGTCGACTTTGTAGCCACGGTTGAGGACACTTACCCCGCCATCTTTACGCATGCTGTAGGTTGCGGTCACGTTCGATAAGCCCCGCTCGAAGCGATGATCGAGCCGGGCAACTTCATACCATTGGCCGAGATAACGATCGAGCTCAAACCCGGTCACCGCAGTGGCGCCCTCGGGAATGCCCGCGCAACCACCTTGTAACACCAGGCTCAGGAGGACCATGGCCAAGAAGGGAAACCTTTCGTTCATCTTTAATATCATGGTGGTCTCAGAATACGTAAGTAATGGCGGCGAAGCCTTTGATCACATGATCGTCGGCAACGATAGGGCTGTCGGTAATTCTGTCAGGCAGAAACTCAGCAGCTACGTTCACCACAATGCGCCATTCTTCAGTGAGCTCAATAAAGGTACCAAATCCTAATTCGTAGCTGACTGAACTGCCTGTGTTGTATGCCGGGCGTGTGAGTGTGGCAGCGCGCGCGGTTACACCAAAATCGTAATTGGTGAGTTCATCACTGAGCCAATTCACCTGCAGCTGGGGGACAAGACGCAACCAGCCTGTCTGAAAGCCTTTGGAGACGCGCGCCGTTGCACTGCCGCCGCCGATTTTATCGAGCACATCATGTTCGTATTGCATGGATAGGTTTACACCCCCAGGCAGCTCGTAGCGCAACCCAATGCCAGCCATAAGGGTGTTGTCACGATCCCCCATGCCGGCAAGCGCTGGACTATCGTCTTCCTCAAAAACCCCAATACGATAAGAGGCGGACGCAGCAAGACGCCAACGCCCGGTACCCAGTATGCCGTACTGTACGTTGGGGCCCAGCCACTGCAGACGCTCGCCGTTGTAGGTAATCGCTGGAATCGGGTTCAGAACAGTAGTATCGGATCCTACGTACGGACTGCTTCGCCCGATGACGCCAACACCAACACCAATACGCCCGCGCTCGCCCAGTACTTTGTAAATCTCAATATCGATGTCTGTTGTTTCATTCTCAGCGATGTTGAGTTTGGCGCGATCAAATGACGGTGGTCCTTTCGGACGGTAGTTGTTTGAAATGCCCAGGGGCTCTTTAGGGATGCCGATGAAGTTTTTGTCGATGAGGCCGTTTTCGTTCTCATCAACATAAACCAGTACCGCGACCTCTCCTGCCGGCACATTCTCAATAAGATAAGTGGCGTCTGAGCGAACAGGTGTGCGCAATTCTTTTGCGGGATCACGAAAATCACCAAATGCACTGGCTGAATCGTAAACTTGAAAGACGAGTATCCCGCTGCCGGGTGCGCCATTCATGGTCACGGAAATATCTGCCGCCTGGGCCAGGCAGGTGCAGATTGATAAAAAGGCTGCGATGACGCGTCTCATCTTTTTGAGTCCAGAGAAATTTGTGCGGCACCCTAGCAGCGCGACTGTGTAGTGGCAATTGACGCGGCAGGATTAGCCGCGTTGGTCTAACAACTTTTCGATGCGTTCAAGGGTGGCCAGTATCTGCAGCTGGGTCTCGTCTTCTGCAGATGCGCCAAGTGGTGTATCTGAATGTACCGTCTTTCTCAGTTTGTCCCGTTGTTGCAGCACCTGATCTCGAAAAGATTCTGCATCGATGACACCTAACAATTTAACCAGTGGGCCAGTTGAAGACTGCCCGGCTGTTTCCACTGAAAGCTGTTTGATGCCGAGGTAACGCATCAGTGGCCCCTCAACGATGCCCAGATCAGTAATTTGTTCCAGCGGGACATTTTTCTCTGTTTTCACCAGCACGCCCTTGCGGACCTTGAGAAATTTTTCGGTCATCTCGCATGACAGCGCATTGAAGTGCTTGTTAATCGCCCACAAGACCAGAGGTATGAGCAGGATGCCAAACAGAGTGATCACTAGAACGAAAAGAAACTGGAGGAGCATGTAAGTTTTGATCTTCGGATCAAAACTGCCCTGCAGCAGAATGGCGTCACCCGCTTGGGGGAGAGTATCCTTGTTACTATTACTCATACTAACTCGTCAAGGTTCCTAAGTGCGATCTAAACGAAAAACCGCAATTGAATCCTGTGCTTCTTCAATGGGCGGGAAGCCATCCACGATCTCTGGATAATCGGGCCGGTACTTATCTACATAGGCATTCAGAACAGGCTCCCAGCCACCGCTCAGCAGGGTTGCGTTGAGCGCGTAGGTGCGCTCGCCTAATCGCATTTCTACGGGGCTGCCTTGCCCGATCATCTCGACCCAACCGCTGTCCCTGGCGCCGACAACATGCAATTCTCCGTCATGCTGAATGACCCAGATAATCACAACGCGCGGAATAGACCCTGGTATGCGCAGTTTGATTTCGTGGGTTTCAGATGTATCCATCCATTGCGCAGGGGCCGGTGTAGGCGTGCCACCGATGAAAAAACCTGGCATCGGCCCGACCGGTGCAATCACGACCAGAATTGCAGCCACGATAAATAGACCAGCGAAAATGTATTTTGCGATTTTCATAGTTAAGTTCTCCGTTCGGCAGTATCTCGCAACATGAAGAAATTACAAGGTTGCACCCAGCACCCGCACAGCTTCGACAACGGTTTCTGGGTCATGGATGGGACAAGTTACTGATGCAACTCGATCTGTCTGTGTGTAGAGCGGTCCTCACTCATCTCTTTGGCTTGTTCAATCAAACTGTGCGCTAAGGCGGCAGCTTTTCCTAGCATAGAAAAGCTGCTTTGTGCTGCGCTTCAAGGCGTATGTTCGGTAACGAACGTCGCCACAAGCTCGCCGATCTGATCGTCAGCTGCGTTGATCTCCGAAATCAGAGATGTATGGTCTCGGTCAGGTACCTCAATTGCTCTGACAGCTCTGTTACCGCTCATGGTGAGTTCTTTTGCCAGCTTTTCGTTCTGGGTGCGGCGCCATGGGTCGTCGCCGTCGGCATAGATAAGCAGCATCGGTGGTTTGCCTGGTGCAATATGCGGTGTAACCGAGGCTGCCAACCAATCCAGAGGCACTTCGCCCCAAACTGACTTCGACCGATCTTTTGCAGTCTCCTCTACATAGAGAAACGGGCTGACCAGGATGGCACCGCTGATATCGGACAGTGCCAAGTCATGCTGCTGCAGATGTTGTGGATCCAGGGCCAGCAGAGTGGCCAGATAGGCACCGGCGGAATGTCCACTAACGTATAGATTTCGTGGGTTGCCGCCGTATGCGGCAATGTTTTTGTACACCCAGGCGGTGGCAGCTGCCGCATCCTGGACATGTGCTGGATGCATCACCCCGGGCGACAGTCGGTAGTTGGCAGACACCAGGCCAATGCCTCTGGCCAACAGCCGTTTGGCCACCACCTGCGCCAGGATTTTGTCACCGTACATGAGACCTCCACCGTGAAAGTAGACGACCACGGGAGCGTTCGTTGCGCCCAAAGGCATGTAGATATCCAGCTTATCTTTAGCATCGGCATAGTCGGCGGTTGGCAGATAATCCACATCCAGTGCCGTAACAATCTGCAGTTGTTCAGCGGTACTCGGCATGGCGACGGCAAGTGCGATAAGTAACGGAATGATTCTTTGCCTGGGAATTCCTTTCAACATCATCTGGTATTTTCCAATGTAGCCTTTCAGTAGAGGTCACGCTGAGGATGGAAACTCTAACAGGGATGTTCATCCAAGAGACAGAGTATTCCAGCATTCAATGTCGCAAAATTTTTGATGACTGGAATGTTTCGCATGTACGACGCCGACCTACGTGCACTTTAAGACGCAAGTAGAGTCAAACCACTAATACATAAATCGAGGCCCAAAACCAAATCCCCTGAGGATGTCCCTCAGAGGCTAGGTGGAACATTTGTTGAAAGCAGGTCCATATTTACATAGCGCATAAAGCTGTTGTGCATTGCAGTCTCGGGTCATTGTTGGTTCTAACGCCGGTAGCAGGGACCTCACCCTGTGCAACCCGGAGCGGACCACACCTGTCAGGACCAACACGCTGATCAAAAATTCTCCCGCCACAGCTTGGCCGAGCGCATCTTTAACGGTCTGTCAGGCGATGTGAGCACGCGGCGGGCGTTTTCTGGACCCCTCAAGTCCGTCCTGAACCAGGGTAATCAGTGCGCTGACACCAAGACTGTAGAGGCTGATCACAAATGCGATTGCGCAACCCAGCGTGAACATGAGCAGCCACTGCAACAGGCTGCCGTGGAAGGTTTCCCGTCCAAATGCGTAAATCAGCACGAAGCACAGCCAGGTGATCGCCGCAGGAATCATTAAATAGAGAACCTTGCGGGTGAATCGCAGCACGGGAGCGGAGCCCAACAGCACTCGCTTGATCAGCGACAGCAAGAACAGAACAGTAGACAGTTGCCACCACAGCGACACGATCAGCGCGACAAAACCATCATGGTTCAGGCTCAGGCCACCGCTCTCGGTGTCGTTTACAGCACCGTCAAGGCGCGGCAGCCACTCGTGGCGTTCCCACAAGCGCACCAGAGCCTCTGCAATGACAAACCCTTCCTGCTGGAAATTTGCCAGGGCCATCAGTATCAACGTCAGCCACAGGAACGCCCAGGCCACCATCATCGGCACAAACTGGGTGCATCGAAGGTAGTCCAGTGCCATCACAGCCAGGGTTTTGACGATCTCGCCGACTTCTTTGCTCATCTTCGCTCTACCTATTGCAGCCGCAATCACGTTGGCTCCATGCTTTTACCCTGCAGCCAGAACGTGCCTATCCATGCCGCACATATAAACCACTCTCTCAGTTCGCTTCAATAGCTCAACGCAGTGCTCCGTAAGGCAACAACCCCGACCGCCGGACGAAATCAGACCGCTTTCGAACATCCGCTTGAACGCCTCCCACTTTCACCTCCACTGTCCCCTGTGTCTGAATCGGAACGGCAACAGCAACCACTGGATAGATATACCCAACCTTGCCGGACACAACGATGCGCTGATCGTGAACGCCGGAGACCTGATACTACGCTGGACCAACTATTACTGGACCAGCAATGTCCATAGCGTTCTGGGTTATGACAGCGAAGTGGCTGCTCCGGGCGGGCAGAATGCCATGTCGATAGTTTTTTCTCAGGTCCACATGAAGACACCAGAATCATCGGATGAACCAGATGAAAGTTGTTTTCATCTGTGTTTCTGCGTCGTTCTTCATGTCGGATTTTCTCAATCCCATCGGCTTGTTCGCCAGCGTACAGGTTTGCGGTGCCGGTACTCTGGTCAGCGTGATCTGGCTGGTCGTCTACCGTCGACGGGTGCCCTGATCCCCATGCTGCAAGGCTGATGGTGGGTCTGGCTGCAGCCGCGTAGGGGCATAGACCGCGAATGGCAGGTCGCGATAGCTGCCGGGATGAACTGCGACATGACTCAGTAGCGCAGCAGTGGTCTGTCGGTGCCATTCCGGCAGCCTGGGGGCGCGGCTTTCCTCTGCCAGGGTATCCAGGTAGTCGTAGCAGTCCAGCTGCCGCCGATGAAAGTGACGTTGTGCCACCCCATCTGCGCGCAGGGCCATGACTCGGGCTGCCGCTTCGCCGGCTCGCTGCTCAGCGGGGGGCAGGTGGAAGTCTCCAGCCAGCAGTCGCGCGAACCAGCGCGCCTGTACTTCAAACAGAGGAAACGGCACCACCTTGAACGGCAGGCCGATGAACGCCAGGGTGGGATGGTCCACGTGCAGCAGATCCCGATACAGCGGACTGACCCAGTTGTCGTCGACGTTAACCAGGGCCGGGTCGAGAAACGGGAACCGATAGTGATAGCCGGTGCAGAAAACCAGCACCTCGACGCCGTCGAGTACCGCACCATCCTGCAGCACGATGGTGCCATCGGCCTGCAATGCCTCAATGTTCTGCCGCCGCTGAAAAAAGCTGTTGGAACGGGCGGCGTCCGGCAGGGTTGCGAACGCGGGCGTACACCAGTAGAGCGCGGCGGCGATGCGGCCGATTTCCATGCTGAGGTCCACGGCCGAGGCTGATGCCCCCAGTACTGCAACCCGCTTGCCCTGGAAGGGCGAAGGCTCACGGTAATTATGACTGTGTATCAACTGCCCCGGCCACTCCGAGAGGCCGGCGAGTGCGGGCACCCGTGGTTCGCTGTAGTGCCCGTTGCACACCGTAACCGCGTCGAAGTGACTGTGTCGGCGCATGCCAGCGGCGATGGATGTAACGGTCCAGCCAGTACCCGGCTCGATGGATTCAACCTGCTCGCCGAAACGGATGCAGCCATACAGGCCAAAACTGTGGGCGAAGTTCTCAATGTACCTCAATACTTCAGCGTGCCCGGGGAATCTAGGCCACGCATCGTCACCCCCACCGCTGCTGTCGAACGCGTAGTCGCTGAAGGCCATCAGATCACGTGGCAGGTTGGTGCGCAGGGAGTGATATAGAGAACCATGGATTCGAGCGCCGTTCTGCCCCAGAGGATCGGCCTCGGTTTCCGATGCGTAAACCCAGATGCCGCCCACGCGGTGGTTGCGTTCGAAGATAGTGACCGTGTGGCCGCTGCGGATGAGTTCACGGGCCGCGACCAGGCCTGCTGCGCCGGCACCTATTACAGCTACGTCCATGGCAGGTATCTGGGCTCCTTCGGCTGAGTGTGCATTCCAGGCGTACGCGACGATTGCTGAAATGACGCGATGGCGGACGCTCAGGGAGGAACAGAATCGCAGTTCGATGTCCGTGTGGCAACTGTTAAGTCACTGACAGGGGGACGTTTGAGGTGGTCCCTCGGTTGCCTCGCCAGGTTGCGCACCGATGCAATGCCCGGACGCGCTTCGCAGTTGCTACTCATACACGCGCATATCGATCATTCCGGCCGCGTGCCGTTACTGGTTAAACGCGGCTATGCGGGCCCCATATACACCCACCCAGCTTGCAAAGCTTTGTGTGACATCATGTTACAAGACTCGGCCTACCTGCATACAAAAGATGCTGAATGGGAAAATAAGCGGCGCAAAAACACCGAAGAATATGTGGAGCCGCTTTACGACGTGGATGATGCGCTGAGCGCCATCGAACTGTTCCAAGGCACGCAGTACGGTGTTGTTGAAGAAATTTTGCCCGGCGTAAGGTTACGCTTCTCAGATGCCGGGCACATACTCGGCTCATCTATCGTAGAATTCTGGCACGAGGAAGCCGGTAAGACGTCGAAGCTTGTTTTTTCCGGTGATCTTGGTTATCGGGATTCGCCGGTGATGAGAGATCCGGCAATAATTGAATCTGCTGATCTGGTCCTGATGGAATCCACCTACGGCGACCGACAACATCCCGCGTATGAATCCACACTGACGGAACTCGGTGAGGTGTTTGAAGCTAAGCAGGGCGATCATCGGGCTCGGGTGGTGCTCGTGAGGTGTCTGTTGTTGGTTTTCGCGCTTTCAGATGTTCAAGAAGAGTGTGAATGGCATCGGGTTAGGTGATTTCGGCGATGAGCCGTAACCGCTCACCTCAGTGGGGGCACAGCGTGATGTCGATGTCTTATGCGCCGACTCTGAAATGGTTCGAT